GAAACTGTATCTTTCAACTAGTAGATTACTCTGTAAGGATAAATTACAGGTAGAATGAGAGAATATTTATTCCCAACTAACTGACATTTATTTGTGGAGTTCTGCTCAGCTTTCAAGCTACTTTCCCTTACATTATTTAACTGATTGTTCTCATATCACCACATAACCAAATGGTCTAGGCAGCATAGCTTGGTGGTACAATTGGGAGACTATATCAAACCTTAGAACAAACTCCAAACTTACTTTTTTCTTTTCCTTAACATCATCATCACAGATTATAATTGCACTATTGTGATCAACCTAAAATGAGTCAAACACTTGTGGCTTATTGATAATAATAATAATTGCAATTACTCTGATTACCCTCATTATCAACATTGCTGTGATTATCAGAACTATGATTTCTTGGATATCTACTGGCTGCCAAAGGGTGCTCTAGACATTGTACATTAATATCTTATTTAATCCACATATTAACACCAGGGGTAGGTATTATGATTATACTCCTTTTAAATGTAAGAAAACTGTCCCTCAGAGGAATTCAGAGACTTACCTGAGATTGTCTTATGAGCTAGCAAGTGGCAGGTCCTAAATGTAAAACTATGTGTGTCTGGCTCAAAGCTGGTGACTGTTCACACCCCTTCCTTCCATTCTCACTGTAAGACACCAGGGCTATACCAAACCTTCTGGGAGAGTCTCTGCCATCAGACACTTACAGATCCTGAGGCATGAGCAAGAACCAGGTGCAGGTCCAAAGACACGGAGGCAGATAGACTGGCAGACACTGAACATGACAGAGGTACAAACAGAATTAACCACGTGGGAAAGAGCATTCTTTGATGCAACCAGCACTATAACCAGCTAATCAAACCAGGCCAGATCACGTCCCAGGCAATTTTCTGGGCATCCTTCAGAGAGTCGCCCAGCCTGAGAAGTCAGCCAATTATGCCTGATCATTCTCTGCAGCCCTGTCCTTATAAAAGACAAGTCCAGACTGGCCCAATGTAGACAAATGAGCAAGTCTATCATCTCTGAAAGGCAATCTAATTCCCTTCAAATTTGAAAGTCTCTACAGTTTCCTAACAGGCCTCAGTGGGGCACAGGTAGAAATTAATAAGTTCACGGTGAGCCCAGCTTGCTTTCATTATCGTTTTTTGCCATGCAGTGGACAGGATTTTCATTATTACTCAAGGATTTTTCTGTATCTGTTTCTCTAAGAAGGTCAAATCTACAGAGCTCAGACACTGGGTTGAGAATCGAGTCAAGTCTAATGGGCTTGACTGCAGTCTGAGGGAGGTTTCATTGGCTGAGTGTCAGTACTTCACTCACCAGGTGGGGCAGGGATCAAAAGGCAATATCACCAGGAAAGGGAGCTCAGAGCAAGTAGGGAGAAAGCTCCATGCTAGCCTGCTCTGGGATACCGGGCAAATTGCTTAGCCTCTCCGTGAGTTAGTTATCTGCCCTTTGAGGCTGGAGGGAGGAGGGTCTGGAAAAGGAAACCCAAATTTATTAAAATTCTACTACATCTCGAATCATTGCAACATGTGTCAGAGACATTTTTTAAAAAATTCATCGAAACAACAAGCCTGCAAAGCTTATATTATTTTACAGATATTGATAGGAAGCAGCAATTCCATCATATCGTCCCTAAGTCACATCATCAGGATAAGGCACATGAAGGCCAGGGAACCATTGACTGCTCTGGTGTGAATGGGACTGCAAACTCACACAACTTTTCTAAAAAACAGCTCAGCATATTTCGGGAACTTTCAAATGCTTGACCAGTTCATTCCAATTCTGGAACTCCATCCAAACAATAGAATCTGAAATGTGGACACGTGTTATAATAAAATAAAATTGGAGATAGACATAATGTCAATCAATAAGAGAATGGTAAACAATAGAATATTCATTAAGTAGGAAATCATGCAGCAAATTGATCAATCACAGAAGAATATTTAATAAAATATTGTATTTTTATTAGCTTAGTGGGGAAAATAAGTTATAGTATTAAATATGTGATGTGATCACAATTTTTGACAAAAAAGAGTAGAAAAATGACTGGAAGGAAATACACTAAAATGCTAAAAGGTAGCTCTCTCTGAGGATATGAAGACATACTTCGTGCTTTTTGTGTGTGCTTCCTATATTTTCCACAGTTTCTACAATAAACACTTGTTATTGTCATAATCAGGAGAAATACCATAAAATCTATTTTATATCCCTGAAATCTGCATTTATATACAAAATGCAATCATGAGTTTAATTTAAATGAAAATCACTTGAGTTGTATATGATTTTTACTGATATTTTAGCAGAATCTATGTGTAAGAAATTTAAAAAAAAAATATTTCGAGAGGAGAAAGATAAGAGAAACAAGGCAGAGCACAAAGAGTATGATGAAACTGTCTTCCGCAAAGCTTGTAGCTCACCTCACAGGCTAAACTGGAAATAACGACCACTGGGAAAGGGGTGGGGAAGCTGACACAATACAGCAGCCATTGATAAGGGGGGACTCAAAGCTTCAGTTGACTTGGAGGAGTGATGGAGCTGGCAGATACGAATTTTTCAATTTTATGAGAATGATAAGGATCTGAAATAAATCTTCAGTATTTTCTTTTTAAGATAAATGCTTTAAAATAAATGCCTGCAGCATGGATGGATGGCTAGTGCCTGTGTCCTGTCTTAGAGCTGATCATAAATAACACTGAGAAAAATAGCTTTGGCCATTCTAAAACACACCTTTATTTTTTACTCTTAAGAGCTTGGGGGATTACATTTTGATACATTAAGCTATATTTCTTTTAAGGCATCTGCAAATAATAGGAGGAGTATAGGAATTTTCTTCAGATGGAAAAAACTATTTAGGGCTTGGCTTAGAAGTAAACCTCAGTTTCAAGATGTGCTTGAACGACTGTGGGCATATCCAACAGTTAGAATGCAAATTTAAGTTTAAAGGAATGTCATGGGTTTGAAATGTAAAAAAATTCTTTGGTGAATCTTCAGATAAAACTTGTAATTTTCCTTTAGCCCTAAAACCAAGACAGTTAAGTAATCTTTCATAAATCCAAACTTTCACATATCAGATTTGCTTGAGATTTTTTATTTTCCTATTCTAGTCTGCATATTAGAAAGCTTATAACTTTATTATAGAACAGCTTATTCAACTACATCAGTGTCCCTGTTAACTATTGGGTGAGTTCAGGACTACGTAAAGGGTAGATATAACACATGACAGACATATTACTCATCTCATAACGTGTTAGCCTTGATACACTGAAATGACTTCATGACATCTGTTTACTTCCCCTTTCATTCGTCATTGGTTTTCTCTGTTACTGTGTTGGAAACATGAATGAAAGGGCCTGCCTAGTGGAGGGGCCTCTGCACACAGGCCGTAAGAGAAGGGGCCAAAGGAAGCTGGGGGCACACGCTCAGAGTGGGGAGGAAGACACCTCTCAGCTCTGTATCTCAAATCCTATTCATCAAGATAAACCAGAATCCTGCATTTTTATGCTAAATCTCCCAGTTTCTAAATGTTTGCCTTTACTTTTTTAAGCACACAGTGCATACCAAGCCAAACATTTTCATGACCCAAACATTTTTGCTAATATTTATTTAAAAAGCTAATTTCCAGGGGTTGCTAAGAATTGTCACTTAAGCCTGGTACCATATTCGCTATGTCCAAGAAGGGGGTGTGCTGGAGTATTCCTAGGCTGGCAAAGGTTTGGGGGAGATACCTCCTCTTTTGTGGAAAAGACAGCATGGGGCTTATACTTCCAAGTGACATTCAGTTAAACTTCTGAGGATGGTTGGGAGAGGTATGGAAATGCCCCAGTTCAAAACACCATGGAAGTCACCCTTGATGGCTATCATTCTACATAAAACAAAGGTAACGCTTTCTTCCGAGAGTCGAGAGTATCTCCCCCGTTCTCTGCAACAATGCTTATGGGTTTATCTTCACATACTGCTGGATTTCCCCATTTAACCCACTGCATTTTCTCTTTACTTTATAATACTCTGTAATGAAAAAAAAGGTCTTCACAGAGCTTAGCTCTTAGAATTGCAAAAGAACCTATTTTTTCTGCCCAAGTAGCTCATAATGTAGCAGACAAACTGTCAGAAAAAATAGACTTCATACTGGTGAAAACCTCAGCCTGGCACCCATCTATCATAAAGCAATCTTCCAGAAATCTTGAAAACCTTCATTAAATTTCCTGTCTTTCTCCTGACAGTTATAAAATGTTAACAATATTACTCATGATGCAGGCATTGTCAGAAATCCTTTGTCCAATCCCTCCTCCTGCTGCTATCACTCATCCTGCTCTTTGCCAAAATCCACGGAAACATGCGACCTAGCCGTATTCCTCACCCACCCTTCCTGGAGCCTGGCCCTTGAGGAAGTCAGAACAAGAAGCAGGGGTAGTCTTGATGACAGTGAGAAGGCTCTCTAGCCACCAGATGCAGAGGGCAACATGGCACTGCCTTTGGAGTCCCCTCCAAAAGCCACACTCCCTTGGAAGTTCAAGGGCAGGACTCTGTCCCACCTTAGCAAATATTTCCTGGGCCTTTTTTCTTTCCCTTTTCTCTTGCCAATTTACCCAGCTACAAGTCTCCACCTATCCATGATATATGGGTAGTGAGGACAGAGGGTCACACATCTTATCATGTCTATGGGTCAGCTCTCTAGGGGAAAACTCCCCTAAGAATCTTACCAGCCCAACTTCTCCAACTCCAGGGTCAGTTCAGCAATTTACCACCCCTCAGAAGATCAAAAAACGAGGGTCTTACATGGGAGACAATGTGAAGGGAAAAAAACACACAAGGAGAGACGGAATCCACACCAGAAATAAGAAGAGGCATACAACTTCAACATCGCAGGCTGACCTAGGAGATGCACAGCTGTGAACAGCTGTAAAGCCCCAGCCTGGGCTCTGGGGAGGTTTCCCAACACGTGTCCAAAGTGAGCCAAGCCCGACCACACTAAGCCGTCACCTCACCTGCAAAAGGAACTGGTGCATCTTTATCCAGGGCTACCAGAGGTGGGTCCAAAATGACCGTGTCATTGTTCTCAGTTATGACTCCATGATACGAAGTCTCGATCCATGGCTTGTGCTTGTTGACTAGAAAAGAACAGGGAAAAAACACAACAAACAAAAATATCATTTGAATAACTAACCCATAATAATAGTGTCAATATTGTACATTTGCCCAATCATAGACTCTCATCCAACAATCCCATGAAGGACACAGAGCACGTTAGTTCCCTTTACACCCAGTGAAGCTTCAGAGAAGTGCAGAGAGGGTCAACAACTCACCCAGGCACACGCGAGTCAAGGGACAGCCCCTAGACACAGACACAGTCTTTCGTCTATAAGACCACGGGTCTTTCGCCTCACCAAAATCCCAGTATTTCTATTTCTGGATGCCCAGTATAGATCTATATTATTAAGAATTGATTGAAAGCTTTAATTTTCAAATGCTACTATTAATAGATGTTTCAGAGTTAAATTTCATTATCAGTAAATAAACCAGCAGATTATGGCTGTGGGTGCTGGGATTTCTGACATCAACTTAATCTGATCCACCGTTAGGAACAGTTACTGCGTTTTACTTACATACATACGTACATGTACGTATAGGTACCAATATATATGTAAAGATGCAACAAATATTCGAGTATTTGCTGATCACTTAAAGACCGTGTCTATCTAAATGGTCTAAATTATCTAGCAACTTAAGTTGCTCCTTAATCATTTGACCAGCTGAATGTGTGCTCTGGACATAATTCTATTGAATAGGCCCCTAGGTTTAATTAAGGGGGAAAAAAGATTGTTTCTCCCAACAGCTGCAAATTATTTACATTGCATTTGTGTTGATGGCTAATAAAAGAGCAAAGGAGTGTGGGGACAGCCCACATTATCTAATGAACAATTAATACACTTAAAGTACATATCGGATGTATGTTATTGGTTGAATTATGTCCCCCTCAAAAAAGAAAGGTGCAGTCTTCACCCCCAGTACCTTGGAATGTGGAATATTTGGAGGTGGTCTTTATAGAAGTAATCAAGTTAAAATGAGGTCATTAGGGTGGGTTTTCATGCAATGTGCCCAGAGTCATTATAAAAAGCGTATTATAAAAAATTCATTTTAAAAAACTGTGGCATAGACACACACACAGGGAGAAGGCCGCGAGAAGATTGGAGTTGTGCCGCCACAAGCCAAGGAACTACCAGAGCCGGGAGACAGCTTGGCACATATCCTGGCCAAGAGCCTTCAGAGGGAACGCAGTCCTGCCCACACCTGTTTCAGACTTATAGTCTCCAAAAGCATGAGACAAACATTTCTGTTGTTCTATGATTCCCTGTGTGTGGTATTTTGTTACAGCAGCCCTAGCGAATGAATACAGTATACTTATGTCAGCAGGTGCTAATGGAGGGTAGATCATTGAAATAAGACTTGCACCAGGATTTGGTGTAATATTCCCAGGTGAGCATCTCATCTGGTGAATGTTGGGTCTCTGCCAGTTCCTTCTCCTTGTCTGGTTTGATTCTGGCCCTGCTGACTCCGATCTGGATAGCTGCAGCGGCTGGTCTCTCAGTAGGAACTCTTGTCCCACGTCAGTCCACGCTGGTATCAAGAATGATCTTTCTAAAACATTAATCTGATTACTCAGTGCTGAGCTGCTTGACTTCTCATTTTTTTAATCCTCACATACCCTCACAGAAGTCTGAGTGTAGAATAGGTGTTTAGAAACAAAACAACAGGTTATTGGGAGCCCTAGAATAATCAAAGTTGTTCCAGTGCCAGCCCTCACACCCTGCTTCACAGTTTAAAAGGTGTGGTCACATACCCAATGCTCCCCACAGCAACCTATGAGGCAGGCATGATCACTATAAAGATGAAGAAACTACTTCCATGAGGTGTGACTTTCCCAAGATGATCACATGGTCAATAATCAGTAAGTGGAAAAATCAGAAACTCGTTCCTACTTTGTGATACCCAAAAAGCATGTGCACACATATGCACATTATGATATATATGTAATACACATTGTACTGTATATATTTTATATATTGCATTACAAAGATTTCAATAGCCATAGCAAAGCAAGAGCTCATAGAATTGAGAGCAGCTCTGATGCATTGACTGCTGTCCCCTTCCCACCCCATCATCCTTCAAAGGGTCAGCTAAGAGCTGCTCCAGGACTGGTGGTAGCCTCAGCCTGGGCCACCATTTGCTGCCTCTCACCCATTCCACAGCAATCACGAACTAACTGAGAAGCAGTCTAACAGGGCAGGGATAGAGGCCTTGCTATTCTCAGGTCGTGGCCCCTGAGATCCATTTCTGCGGTTGGATCGTGCCCAGGGCAGAGAGTAGCTCTGCTGACTGCAGGTGTGGAAGGGGCGGTAGGCTCATGCATTCTCAGGTCTTGGCACTCAGACCAATGCTTCATTATGGACCCTGGAAGAGTTAACAGCCACCCTGGGCTGTCCCCACGCTCCTTTGCTCTTTTATTAGCCATCAACACAAATGCAATGTAAATAATTTGCAGCTGTTGGGAGAAACAATTAATCTTTTTCCCACCCTTAATTAAACCTAGGGGCCTATTCATTAGAACTATGTACAGAGCACATGCCAGGAGCTCACCCAGTGTTTCAGATTCTCTGTGCCACTTGGCTCTGTGGCAGGCAATGGGATCCAGAGGCACCATTCCTGGTTTTGTCCTGGCTTAGCCACTTGCTGCTGGGCCTAGGTGAGTCAGGTGCTCTCAGAGTTTCAATTCCCACAACTGTGGAATGGTGGTGATGATACCATCTACAGGATTGTCCTGTCATTCACATGTCCTGTGCTAGACAGAGCCTCTACCCTTTCATTGCTCAGACTCACGGCCTGCTCTCTGGGCAGTGACAGTGTCTCAAGGAGAGGTGGTTTATAGACCAGCCTTAAAGGTGCAGTCGTCTCCACCTTAGTGGAGATGGGCTGATTTCCTTCTAGCCACAGGCCTGCCCTCCCACCCACTCTTCTCTATCATTGCTACAGGTAGCTGGGTACCTACCACATAGTAGGCATTTTACACACATACATTCATTAATTCTCACAACAACCCCCTTAAGTAATATTTTATGTCTCATTTTGCAGGTGTTGAACTGAAGTTCAGAGGGGTTTATATGTTTCCATTTTGGAAAATAAAAATGTTAACGTCCCTAAAGTTTTCTCACTTCTCTTCCATGTTCTAACTTTCCTCAGATTTACCTGGACTTTTGCTTTGTCAAGGTTGATAAACATTTGCATTTTTGATATGTAAGCAAAATTAGGTGTTCTATGCTTTGTCTATTGATCACGTCACCAGGGTAGGAAACCAATAACCTACATTTACATTATTTTGATTATTGTGGCAAGTATTATACAAGAATTTCTTTTTCCTCTTAGTAGCCCAATGGTCATTTCAAGGACAACATTCCTTGCATCCAGACCAACTGGATTCTTTATTCTTTCGCTCCATCAAATGGCTGAATCTTGTCCATTTTTGTTTGCATTACATTTAGAAGCCGCTTTCTTTGTATGTTTTTTTGTTTTCTGAACTTAATGGTTGCCTTTTTATTTCTATTGAGCAATAAAACATAGGACTTCCTCTCCACAGCTCAACTATGTTACAGCTTTTAAATAATTCCATCCATTATTCATTCCTCATTTGTGAAATGAAGATACCCATTTCTCAGGATCGCTGTGCAAACTGCATGACATAAGCTAGTACCCCTGGAACAGAGTAGGCATTCAAACACTCTTAAGTCCCTGAGCCCATCTCATGACCTGCTGAAGTATGGCCTTGAGCTTTCAGAAATATTTAGCCCAGCTTCTTTCATTCAACAAACATTTGTGGAGTATTTAAAATGTACAGAAAACATTGAGGTAAAATGGAAAAAAAGTCCTTGAAAAAAGAATTTAACAAAATTTGACATCCATTTAAAATTAAAACTATCACAAATGATAAATAGTAAACAACTTTCTTAATCTGATAAAAAACTTTTACAAAAACCCATAGCTAACATCGTACTTAATGGTTAAAGAGTGAATGCTTTCCTCCTAAGATCAGAAGAATACAAGGATGTATACTCTCACCACTTCTATTCACATTGTACTGGAGGTTCTAAACAGTGCAATAAGAAGAACAATATCAGAATGGAAATGAAAAGGTAAAATGGTCATTATTCACAGAGAACATGATCATCATTGTAAAATTCTGTGAGATCAAAAATGCTACTAGAACTAATAAGAGGTTTAGGATGATCACAGGATAGAAAGTCAATGTATACAAATCAATGGTATTTCTATGTACTAGCAATAAATAATTGGAAATTTAAATTGAAAAATACTGTTAGCATCAAAAACATGAAACAATAACTTTCACAAAATATATGGAAGATTTGTACACTGAAAACTCTAAGACAGTGCTGAAAGAATTTAAAGACTTGGAGAGACTTTAATGGAGAGATAAATAGTGTTCATGATTTGGTAGACTCAATATAGTAAAGATGCAAATTTCCCCCCAAATCAATCCACAGATTTAATGCAACTCCAATCAAAATACCAGCAGGATTTTTTAAAGGATAAGCTAATTCAAAAATATATATAAAAATGCAAAAGACCTGACAGCCAAAATAATTTTGGAAAAGAAGAACAAAGTTGGAGGACTTACACTACCTGATTTCAATACTCATTGCAAAGCTACCCTAATCAAGGCAGTTTGGTATTGACATAAAGATAGACATGCGGATCAACAGAAAGAGCAAAGAGTCCAGAAATAGATGTATGCATGTGGTTGAATCATTTATGACAAAGGTTCCAAGATAATTCAATGGGGAGAAGGTTAGTCTTTCCATTAAATGCTGCTGGAAAATTTGGATATCCTGTGCAAAAAAAATGAACTTCAGTCACACTGCACACCATATACAAAAATTACTTATAAAAGGATCATAGTCCTAAATGTAGGAATAGTTCTAAATGTAAATGTAGTGCTAAATGTAGTCCTATATGTAAAATTATATTAATAAAACCTTTAAAAGAAAGCATAAAAGAAAATCATAGTGTCCTTGGGTTAGGAAAAGATTAGAAAGGACCA